CTGATTTTACAGGAAAAATTAATTATGGAAATAATGGGCACCTCCAAGAATTATGGGAAAAAAAAAGGTTCGGATTACTTCCGGGATATTTTGAACCCTTATGGGGAAAAACCTAATTATGGAAAAATCGGACGCAGGTACCGCCTGTCTAAGTTGAATTTTTTTTTTTTCCCATAATTCTGTCGGTAACCATATATAATTATATATATATAATGGAATATATATTTTTAGCTAATATTTAGTCAAATGGCTCCGTATCCGTCGCTTTAAGAATTCTATTTTTCGACCCTCCGGAATCGCAAATCATTGCAAATCACAATATATCGCGATTTTCCAAATTCTTGATATATCTACATCTTCTTTCTCTTTCTTTTTCAATTGTTTTCTCTTCTTCTCTTCTCCTCTTTATATAATTCTTCCCATTTCTGTTTTTCCATTTGTTCATATTATCGGAGATGTGAATTCAAATTTATTGATATCTTTATCAGAGATATCAGGAGATCTGTTGATTTGCTGCGAGGGATTCTATTTTCGAACATCAGATCTTCAGATTTGCTAAAATGATTTTATATATCAGATACAATAAATCGCACAATCTGGCGTCATTTTTTATACCAACCCCAGCACTTTAAATAAATATATTGGCACGATACCGTCAGCTCTGCACTTAATTTTTCTTTTTTAGGGAAGTCTCGCAGAATTACTTCATTTTTGATATTGTACCCCTCAAAAAATGAGCAGCAGGACGGTGGGAAATTATTTTAACCGTCCGTATATCACGGCCAGTCGTACACGGTAGACCGTGATCCCGGCTGACCGTACTGAGGGTACCTCCGGCTGGCCGTGATCCTGTTCGTGCACACTTGGTCGTCCCGGTTGGTCAGCTGGCCATGCGGCTGGCCGTGCACGATTGGAAGTCCCGGTTGGCCGGTTGATATTGCGGAATAAGTTGAATGTGCCATACGATCGGATTTTTGATTATTGATATTGATCTATCATTGTTCGGCCTCGAAATATTTTTCCTTCGATATCAGGACGGAAGGAATAGGATATTTGGATCTCTGCGAAATGATTCCCCAATCTTTGTTGTATCGAATCTTTAGTGTCCAGTGTCCAACTGACAGAAAAATCGGCATTCCTTCTTTTGAAGTCCTTATACCCAACAGCAAATGGACATACGCGTGGCACTCCCAAATAAAAAAGAAATATTTATGATATAATTATTTTCAAAATTTCTTTGTGACGAAAGGAAATATACAGGAGGACACAAATATGGATAGCTGAAAATTATCCAAATCTGGTGGCCGCCGATCCAAATTAATATTTTTCTAATCTTATTATGATCCAAAGAATCATATCCGTCCCCCTCGGCCGATCCTTTAATTAGAATTCTAGGATCTCTGTAAAATTAATAATAGTAATTTCAAAATTCTTTATATATTTTAGTATATCGAATTTCTAATTTATAATAATTTATTTATAACCAAATTAATATTATTTTATTATTAATTATTAAATTTTTATATTTATATATATAATATCTCTAATTTAATTCCTATATAATAATATCTAAATAAAATATAGATATATTTTTTCTATTTTAAATATTAATTTTGG